AAAGTGGAACTTCAGCAATGACTCTAACTACTTCTCTTCCCAGTGAACTTATAAAGCACCTCAGCAGAACTATAAGCACAAACGTATCCCCATCATTTAACCCTGAAGCCCACAGCCAGGAAATAAGCTTTTGTTAAAGCCTACTATATTCCAGGTGCTGTGCAAAGCGCTGAGAATACCAAAAAAGGCCAAGACACAAAAGAGTCCCTGCCCTCAAGAAGCCCCTCGTCTAATGGGGAGATGACAGGCAAACAAGGTGTATACAGAAAGAGAGGAAACACTCAACAGAAGGCAGGCCCAGAATGAAGACGGACTGGGAGAGGCCTCGTGTAGAAGCCAGGGTTTCAGCTGGGACTTAACAGAAGCCAGGGAAGTCAGGAGTGGAAGATGAGGAGGGAGAACATTCCAGGCCTGGGGGATGAGCCACAGAAAATGGAGAGGGAGGATGGGCAGAACAAGGTGCCGGCTTTCTAGGTCTCATTTATTCTCAAGTGTGCCATGTGTTCGCTGGAGACGGTGCATCCAATCGCTCAGCAGAACAAATGAAGACCAAGGAGTAGATGTCTGAGGAAGCCTAAGATGACGGTCATAATCAATTTGTCAGGCAGACAGATGCACATCAGTCTCAACTTGAGCCTCAGAAAACAGGATCCCTCAGAGGAGGCCCATGTCCGACTACACACTTTCCCTGGCTCTAAGCAGGGCAAAGGGAGGTGAATGAACCCCTCAACCATCCCCATCTGGCGGGCAAGCTGACACTAGAGCCCACAGGCCTCTGATTTCCAGTCTGGCCCTCAGACCAGCAAAGCAATGCTGCCTCCCTGTTCTCACCAGAATGATGCTTCTCTACCATCAAGGCAAGGCACCTCTTGTCAGTATCTGGCCCTTCACAGACTGTCCACATACCTTCACATCCACATTGTAGCTGGGAGCAGAAAAGAGGCAGAGGATAGCTAAGCTGATGGAGACCATCAAAAACATAGCCCCATCCTCAAAGACAGAGTTGGGGACCGGGGCGCTCAGGGGGCTATCTGGACATCTCACCAACAGGACTTGGCACTTCTGCATTGTGCAAATATGGCCACATCAAAGGAAAGGTCGGCTCTAGCTCCCAATCCATGCCTAAGTATGACCATCAGTCTCTCCCCCTGCACTCTGTGGCAGAGGGGTCACGAGCTGCCATCATCATTCTCCCTCCCTGAAGAGAAGGCAGCTACTGACTGGGATTGTGGGGCTGCCACCTACCATGCCTTATGCCAAGCAATTCTTACTTAAACAGAGGTTCTTGTCGGGGAACATAATGTACATAATTACGCAGGCCCTGAATATGAGTTACAAGAAAGGGATACTGCGAGTGCCCAAGCACAGCAATTATTTACAAAGCTTCTGTGTCCTCAGCTGTCAATAGCACGGCATCAGGGGGTGAACCACAAGAAAGTCGATTTCATTTTGTTTTTCGTTACCCAATACGGCTAACCCGGCCACAAGTTCTAGCAGGACACTATCTCATCATCTGCTAGGGAAGTCATGCAACGATGTCTGACTGGGTCCACTGCAAATTTATGGAATCTAATCTCAGTTGGGAATGCAGGGTAAAAGGCCCTCAGCCCTGTGTCATGTGCAAATCTTACTTCTAACACTTACTAAAAATGTGTAACCACATCTTCAGTTTCCTCATTATTGAAAGTTGACTCAGTGACCAGACCTGCTTGTCCATCAGTGCTTGGGAGGTGGACAGAGGATGGCACTCAGTCAGATTCATCATGGAGTAAGTGATCCCCCTACCTGGAAATTGTCATGTACTTGCTACCTCCGGGAGGAACTGAAATGCAATGACTCACCCTCTTTTACTGATGTGGACCTATCCAAACTGTCTTTATCTCATTCCAAAAGTTATCAACAAAAGTGGGCCCCATCTCAAAGCGACTGGTGATCCCCAGTGATCAGCCTATCAGCGTGTTGTTACCTTGAAATACTTTTTTTAGTATGTCAACCTGATATAATTTTAACAAACTCTTTTTAATTCTCTTCATCCTGAGTTTTGCCTTCTTAATCAGGGTAAAAGCCCAAACAAAGAATTTTCCTTTAAACATCATCTGGAAAAGGAAGCTAATAATCTATGGTACCTAACTCACAAGATTATTCTAAGGATAAAATAAAATAACATATAACCAAATTCTATACTTAGTTCCTGGCATGAAGAAAAAGAAGAATTGGCCTCAAAGTCAGAAAGACTTAGGTTTGAGCCCTACCAGTGACCTCAAAGCCAGTTCTCAATCTACCA